GCTTCTCCGCTTCTTTCTTCTCTCCTGATCTCCTATCCTCTTTTCTTTTCTTGCTCACTTCTGTCTTTTATCTTCTCTCTTTTATACTATTCTCTATATTTTATTTCCTTCTTGTCTCTCAGACTTTTCCTTGCTGCTATTTTTACCGTTTTTGCTTGTATCTCACTGTTGCTTTTGTCTTCCTTTATTCATCTTCTGTTATTTCTTCCTTTTTCTTCTCTTTTTTTTTTGCTTTCCTTTATTGTCCTATAAACTCTTCCTACTTTTTTTCTTCCTGGCGTCTCTTGCTGGTATCCTTTCTTCTTGTCGCTCTTCCTCGTTCTTCATGATTCCTCTTTCCTTCGCCGTTATCTAATTTTCTATCTTGTTTGTTATCCCTTTCATGCTTGTTATGCTTTACCATTCTCTCCTTCTCTTTCTTATCTCATTTATATTGTCTCTCCTTCATTTTATTTCTTCTTTTACTTCCCCCTTCTCTTTCGTCTTGCTTCTTTTATTCTTTTCTCTCACTTTTCCTTCTCTATTCTCTCTCGCTTCTTGATTTCTTGTCCTGTCTCTTCTTTCTATCTTGATTTCTTGCTTCCTCTCTTCCGTTCCTCTTGCTCTTTGTCTTTCCGTCTCAACTTTTAGGTGTTGCTATTTATCGCTATTCTATGTCTCTCGATTGTTCTCTTGCTTTTTCCTTCTCTTCTCTCTACTTTTCGCGTTTCCTCTTGCCTGCAACGTTCTCCTTTTCTTTCTCGGCCTATTCTTATCGTTATTTTCTTCCGATTTCTCGTCCTTTACTTTCTGTTTCTTTTCTCGTGCTCCCTTGATCATTTTATTCCTTCTCTTGTACTTCTATCCCTTTTGTCACTGTTGCTTCCTATTATTGTTTTGTTTCTGTCTCTTTTGGTACTTTCATCTATCAGTCGTTCTTGCCGATTTTTTCTCTTCCTTTTATCTTGCTTTTCTTTTCCTTTGCTCCCTGTCCGTCCGCCCCGTCTCTTTCTACTTTTTCTTTTCTGCTTTTCTTCTTGTTTCCCTGTTACTCCTATTTTTCGTAGTCTGCTTGTCTTGTTGTTTTCTACTATCTCTTTTGGCCTCTCTTTCTCCCGATTCTGTCTATCCTATATTGTGGAATTCTTTTTATTGCTTGTCTTTTGCTTTTTTTTTTAAATTTTCCTCTCGTCTTCTATTTTTTGTTTTCTCTTTCGTGTTATTTATTATGCTTCCTTTCAATACTTTTGTTCTTCTTATCTCTTGTTTCTTTTATATCGCTTTTCTCTTATCTTGCCTTTTTCTAGTCCTTGTAGTCTTTCTTTCTCACCTTTTTTCTTTTATTTCCTTTTTTCTTTTCTCTTTCGCGTTGATTATCTTGTCACCTTCTCTCATCTTTTGTCTTTCCCTCTTGTTTCTTTTTCTTCTTTCTCTTTCTTGTCAATTTTGAGTTTTTCCCATTTTTCCTTCCCTTTAGCTTACCGCTCTTGCCTCTTTTGCTATTTTCACTTTCTTCCTTTTGTTCTTCTTTTCTTTCCCTTTTTCTAATTTTACTTTCTTCTTCTCTTTTTTTATTTTACTTTTTCTGCCTGAATTATTATTTCTTTCCGCGTTTCTTCCTGTCTCTTCTTTTTTTGCTTGTCATTTTGTATCATCTTAACCTTGTTGTTCTTTCTTTAATGGCGTCTTTTTTTCATTTCTTTCTTTTCTTTTTTTTTTATTCTCTTGTTTCTCTCTTTCTTTCCATTTATTTGTCCTTCCTGTTTTAGCATATCTATTTCTTTCTTCTTTGCTCTGTTCTCCCTGCTGTGTTTTGTTTCTTTTTTCCTTCCTTCTTATTCTTGCTTTCTTTTATGTTTTCTCCTTCTTAATTACTTTCTATTTCTCTTTGGTTTTCCTTTCCGAGTTTTGTTTGTAGTATATGTTTTTTCTTTTAGCTCTTTCTTACTTATCTCTTTTTCTTTATATCTACTTCCCTGTATTCTTCCTGTCTTAGATTATTCTTTCTGCTCTTCTCATTTTCTGTTCTTTTGCTTTTTTTATCTTCCTCTCTTTTCTGTCTTTATTCATTATTCCTTCCTTAGTTGTATCCTCTGCTCTTCTTTTCTTCATCTTTCCTGTTTATTCTTTTTTTCTCTCTTACTCTTCCTGTCTTGTTCTCTCTTCTTTCGCTTATCTTTTAGTTGTCGCTTTCTTACTTCTTTTCTTTCTCTCGTTTTGTTTCCTGGTGTGTAGTTTGCTTGTCTCAATTTATTTTTTCTCATTTCTATCTCCTTCTGTCGTATACCATCAGTTGCTTTCTTTTCATCATCTCCGTATCTTTATTATTTCTTCCTTCTTGTATTTTTCTCTTTCACATTTCCATTCTTTCTTTCTTTGTCTCGCCTTCCTTTTAGTTGTCTCATTTATAATGTTTTCCTCCTCTTACTCGTTTCCTTTTTGCTTCTCTCGTTCTTAACAGTTGCTCTGTTGTAATCCCTATTTTTTTCCAACTTCCTTATTCCGTTGCTCATTTTCTTGTCTTCTTGATTCATATTATATTCTTTCCTTCCTTCCTTTTCTTAATGTTTTGATTATTGTTACTACGCTCTTTTCTTATTTTTCTCATGTCTTCTGTTGTTTCTTGTTCAATGTTTCTCATCTTTTCTCTTCTCCTTCCTTTATACTCGTTTCTTTTATTTGTCTTTATCTGATTCCTGTGTTGTCTACTCTTTGCTACTAACGTTTGTACTTTCCTATCACTTGTCTTTTTGTCCTTTGAACATTTCCTGCTTTCTTTATTTTTTTCTTTCTCACTCTCCTATCCTCTCTTATTTCCCGTGCTGTTGATCTCTATTACTTATTTTGGTATTTTCGTTCCTACTTTTTTTTCTTTTTTTCATTGCAGTTACCGTATTCTTCTTTAATGTACTTCCCATTATATTTCCTTTCCCTTGCTATTTACTGCTTCTTTCTTTTTCTTTTTCTGACATTTTCTTCTTTCTCTCTTTTTCTCTGTCTTAATTCCCTCTTTGTCTTGTTCTATTTCATTTTTGCCTTACTTTTACCATTCCTGATTTGCCGTGCTCTTTTCGTTGCTTTATTTTGATCTCTTCTTCTCTTTTATCTTAACTTATCCTTTTCTCTATTTTTTCTGTTTTCTCTATTGCGTGCCTTCTCTTTATTGTTTCCTGCTCTCCTTTTCTGTTTCTCTTCTCTGCTTGTACTCTTTTAATTGTTACTTTTTCCTATGTTATTTATTGTGTCTTCCTTATTCTGTTGTCTTACTTTTCGTTGCCTGTCTCCTCCTTGTAGCTACTCTCACTTATCTTACTTCTTGGTGATCTTACTTTCCTACTGTTTTCTACCACTTGTGTCCTTTTCTCTCTCCTTTTTTCTTTCGTTGTTCTTTCATTTGATTTCTTTCTCTTTTTGCATTTCGCGCTCTTTAGCCTCTTATACTCATTTACTTCTTTCTTCCTGCGTTGCTTTTCCTTTCCCATTTTTTCTTGTCTTCTTCTGTGTTTTTCTCTCTATCTTCATGTCGCTTCTTTCTCTTGCTTATGTTTTTCTGTTCCTTTTCCTTTCGTCTCCTTCTTGTGTTGTACTACTTTTTTTTCGTACTTTCTTTTCCCTCTTATCTTTGTTTACAACTCTTATTCCCTGTTTTTTCTTACCTCTCTCTCTTTTTTAAATCCTTCTGTCTTTCGGCCTTATTTCTTATCTTCTCGCTCTCGCTGGTTTCTCCTTTCTGACTTGCTTTCTGCCTTTTTCTTTCTAGCTCGTGCTCTCATTTTCTCTTTCCTTTATTTCTCTCGTTTTCCTTACTTCCTTAGCTCTTGTTTTACGTACTACCTTTTTTATTTATTATTTATCAATTTCCTGTTGCTTCTCTATCTTCTATTATCTACCTTCTTTCTTTGCCTTTCCACTTTGCCTCCTTCCTATGGTGTTGTCTCTTGTTCTTTCCTTTTTCTTGCTACTCTCCTTTGTTCTACTTCTCTCTTTCCCTCCTTTTCTCAAATTTCTCCTTGCTTGCTCGCTTTTTCTTTCCTCTCTATTCCTTTCTTTTGTTCTATCTTCTTCCTGTCTCGCCTTCTGCCTCTTGCTTTTTCGTCGTTTCATTTTCTTCGCATTTTCCTATTCTTCTCGCACTATTGCTTCTTTTTATTGTCTTC